AACATAATTAGCTCCGATTTGCCGATTTGCATAGTATAAGAACGTACCTTTTCAACAAATTCCTTGTCACTTTCCCCTGATGAAGGCTGAAGTTTTGGCCGAAACGTTGGGACTTTTACAAAAAGAATTTTTACCAACATTTTTACATTTTTAAACCAGAGTAACGTTTTTCAATCATGAAAAACCGTTACTATTTTTCATCTCAGAAATGCCATTATCAAAAGAAAGATGTAACAAAAGCAAGAGCAGAGTGCCCTTTTTCAGCTCACTAAAAATTTGAGGCTAGCTGTATTTCTACACGTACGGAAGAGCTTAATTTTTCTGGCGTCTTCCTTGACATATCTTTTCAAGAAATGCATGCGATGTATAAAAGAACAAATATAAGTAGGTGAAGAAATTGGAAGAAAAGTATGCAGAATTGTAGCCAAATTCGTAAAAAAAAAATGGGTCGAAACGTGCTTCGGGCGATGCGTTCAAAAGCTGCGACATTCAGATAGTGAGATACATTCATTGTAGTTTGGTTAATTGTTGGCTCGCAACATACAAGCGTCTGTGTCGCTTTTCAAAGCGTCAAGCTGTTCAACATTCATGAAGTTCTTTACTGTAAATTTTATTGTTTGTTTTGATTCCATAGCAGACGCCTGGGACTGTGCTGTGGTGAACATAAGTAGTGTCCAGGCCCACCATGTTATGCCTTACCATTCCGGCTGGACATATCAGGCAAGCAAAGCCGCTGTAACAACAATGACCAAGTGTATGGCCCTGGATTTGTCCGCTCATGGAATCAGAGTAAACTCTATTTGTCCCGGATATATCTGGACTGAACATGTAATACTTCATTTATTGCTTGTAATTTTGTTAAACTGTGACCGAGGTCTGCCATCAAGTCATTCAGTCGTTCCTTTATTCGTTCTTTCGTTCCTTAGTTGGTTGGTTCTTTCTTTCCTAGTTTGTTCCTTGTTCGTTAATTCCCTTTCGTCGGGGAATGTAATGTCTTTTGTAAGGACATTTATCAAAATAAACTATAAAGTAAGTTAACCGGCCCTATTTATACTTAACTGACACAATCGTGCAGTTTTTACTTAATGTATTTCTTGTTGTGGAGTCACACGTGGAGAGACTTTGAACCGCGGAATGGACGACTTATCGTCAAAGGGCTCTCGCGACAAATGGTGAATCATTTTCCAAAGCAGCCTTCATCCGGGCTGCAAGTCGACAACACTTTTGTTCCCAGGGCCATTCTTCTTCCCTCTTTTCCCTGAGCAACATCAACCTCGTCCCCAGGGTCTTATCCACAGTTTTGAATCATGCTTTGAAATCGTGGGTCTCGGGGACTTTTGATATGATCTCGCAATCCTGATGAGTCGCGAAGTTTCGTTTTCGTGTGTTTCTCGGATTTTGAAACGAGGACCTCGGTGTCTCTGTGAGTTTTGGCTTATCCCGGGCTTTTATCATTTGGTGAATTCTCCATTTCTCATGGCCCTAAGTTTCCAGTATTTGAGATGTTTAATTTCTGATTTGCATTCCAGAGATAATCTTGAAAAATGTCTTTGCAGGCAGAATCAGTTTTCGGTGAGAGGAAGAACATTGAGCCAGCCGTTAGGTACTGGAAACTGATACACCCGGGTAGGCTTGGGTACGAATTAAACTGAAAGAGGATCAAGAGACCGGAAGAAAACGGGAAGATCGGAGGAAAGAAGTAAGCTTACCTCCAGTAAGATGTACAGACAATTTTCCAGGCTTCAAGACTTGAAAGCTGCTCAGAACCTCGCAGTCTTTATTGCGGTGAAAAGGAAATCCTTCAAGTGTCTTTCTACCTCTCGGTTGAATCGCGACGAGACGTTAAACAAAACCTTCGCGTTGAACTTTCTTCACAGGACATTTGCTCTTCCAGCTGACTATTTTGTAAGAAAAGCATCTGGAATGCAGCCCTGTAAGTTTCTAGGGAAAATTCACGTTGTGAAAAATGAGGGAGACGAACAACGTTTAGTGCAAGAAGGTGTAGTTTGTAAGGATTTTGAGAGACAGGACGCTCTTGGCATGGACTTAGAATATGTTAATGAAAGTCCACTCCAAAGAATCTGTTTAATTCAACTGGCCTCAAAGGAAAATGCAGTTTTATGGACGTGTAATGAGGGTCATTTTCGTGATAAACTCCCTCCTTATTTGTTATCCATCATCACAGGTAATGTTCTAAAGGTAAGTTTGTGAATTGTTTTAGATATACAGTAATAGCCCACGTATAAGAACCTGGGTTTTAAGCAGCTGTTAGGCTAAAATTTTCATTTTAAGCCCCCTCCACATAAGAACCTATTAAGGTGGCCGAACACAGTTTTCGCGCGCGCTTTTGCTGATGCAATTCAGCGCGCGCACAAGGATTGCAAGAAACAAACAGGCCGTCAATAGAGCGATCATTTTATTTACTCANGAAATTCAGATGGATGACATAATCCCCCTGCCCCCTTCTTTCCCTCCTAACAGGATCTCAATGGTAGATTCAAGGGTGCTCAAAAGGGAGTGGGGGGAACAGATGAAATCAGGAAATTTGCAGACCTTAACCTAATTCGACATAAAGGTATTTCCAACATATCTCTCTTCCATAAGTTCCCATTTTTGGAGGTGCAGCAGAGGAAGAAGACAGGATCTGTTTATTTCAGTGAAGACAATGTTCAATTAATACATTTTTTTTGCTTTTGTTGGCACAGGTGGGCCATGACCTTGCTCAAGATGTTGTCCTTCTCCAGAAGAATTATGGAGAGTGTACAAATAACTTTGTAGATACCCTTACTTGGGCAAAAGAAATGAACTGTGATCCATTGAACCTCAGAGCAATGTGTGCTATTTTTCTTCATGAACGACTTTCCAAACTTCTTCAACAATCAGACTGGTCAAAAGATTTGACTGAGAAACAAATTTTGTATGCTGCTACAGATGCGTGGGCTTCACTGAGGGTCTATGAGGAAATGAAAAGGTAAATCCAT